ATTTGGTTTCAGTTCCAAAAACTTTACACTGGATAGAAGGAGCCAGCATAACTGGTAATGAAGCCCCATTAAACCTAAGTATTAGTATGTGATCAATCAAGAGTTAGTTTGGTTGATGTTAGGAAGTTGTTCTGAAAAAGACTGCCTTGTTCTAATGTTCGCTCCCCCATCCCAAGCTGAAGTTCCTAAGCATTGGCTCTATTCTGGCTCCTTCTTCCCCTTTTCATACCCTGGAGTCCAACTAAAACATTTTGACAGGTTAATCATTGGCTGTGAAATCTCCAAAAATGGAAGCACAGGAGAGTAAGGACTGGAGAAGCCTGAAAGGCCAAAGTCATCTTACAGATCCATCCTGAAAGGAAAGGGAAAGAAAACTGAAAGATGTAGGGATAGCATGTGGTATTTTAGCACATTAACCAAAAAAGACCATGGAGGTATCGACCCTAATATGCAGATAGTTTCTCCTCCTACGAATTAGAATAAGATACCTTTTACCTTTTCACTTGATTTTAACAATCAATTTAGGAATCTGGACTTACCTGGATTGCATAGGCTTCTTTAAGTTGATGGTTATTTTTCTATAAACCATTACCCCAGTGAAGCATTACCTGGTGAAGCATTCTCACCACCACTAGACCTGTACTAGTCCAGATGGAAAATAGAAATGCAGCCTAATACAGCAGCAATTTGGAGGACCCCAGTTGCCCCGGGTAAGATGATACCACTAAGCTTCTGTATTTGCATACGACTTACCTGAGTCAAGTGGCAAAGAACAAGGAATGAGCGCTCAGATAAAGAAGCTCCCAATAGTAGAAGCCAGGATGCAGCATAACATAATCATTATCTTCTTCTGCTCAGCAAGAGGAAAAATACCCAGATATATTAATAGGCATGGAGTTGATAGAATTGGAGAAAGAACAGGGCTTATTTTATGAGTCACAGAGTTGATTTTAGACTATAAGATAGGAAGGTTGGGAGACACCACAAAGGAGCTGAAGAAGATATTATAGACTGTTCTTTCACAGATCTAGATAGGATCCAGATTGTACTACAAAATTTTCTTCATTGGGTTATTG